AGCCAGCCAGGTAGGTAGGTAGGTAGGTAGGTAGGTAGATAGGTAGATAGGCAGATATGTTCATAGGTAGACAGGCAGATAGGTAGATAGATAGATAGATAGATAGCAAAAACGACCTGTACCTTTCTACAAGGGCAGTATTCGGAAAAAGTCAAGCAACATCAGCGACATAATCGTGCCCGGTACAACTCTGAAATGAAGTTCGGAGGCTTCAAAAGGTGGGATGAAGGTAGGTGGAACTAAGAATCCCCTCATATTATATGAGGACTCTTATCTGAGAGTACCCAACCCAGCTTCATCCTTGAGAAGTGTATGTTGCCTGCGTTCTGAATCCAACCAACTGATCCTGACAGAGCCTGAAGCAGCGAAAAAGCGCGGCTCCAGCAGTGGATGCGCGCACTACATTTCAAGCGCCCGCGATATCCCGCGATTCGAGCACGCACGCTTCCAGCACGAGCATGTCAGCGAGAAAAGCTTGTTAGCAGTTCAGGCACCAATTCCGATTCAAGCTCGCGTTCAGGACTTTGGGGCTTAGGGATTTGGTAAGGGGCTCACCACGCACCGAGTCCCGAGTCTGCGACTTTAGCCTTAGCTAGCGTCGCTGATACTGACCCACTGGGGTTTGGGATGGGGCGGGGGGGATGATAACGACATGGTCGGCCTCTTCCATGTAGCCCTTGCTGGAGCTGCGGCTCAATGCAGACTCCTCCCGTGCTCTTCTCGCCCCCGTTACAGTATTTAAATGCGTGCTGCTGGCGGGAGAACGGCTGCCCAGAGCATCTGCAAGCTTTGAAAACACATTGTCTCCCGGTTTTGCTGCTATCTGTGCTGCGAACATGCCGGGCTTCTCCACGCGAAACCGCCGCCCAGCGTAAATACCAAGTAATGCCGATAATCCTCCGAAACCCAAGGGGAAGCCACATGTCCTTTTCAGCCCACAAAATCCTGAAGCTCTAACCCCTCGTGGTGGCTAACCGCGACGCTACCGATTTTTAGGGTTTTGGGCCGCAGTTCCATTCCGTGCGGTAAACCCACGAATCCACGTGGCTGGTGCGCGAATTCATGGTGCTCAAATCCGGCGCGGGAATGCTCGAATGCTGCATACACCGATCCGCCCGGCTAGCACCGGAACCCGGTTGCTCGAATCCGGGGCAGCAATACCAGTCTTGACCGGTGTTATGAATCTGACGAGCCACACCCAAAATCCCATCCACCGGAGTCCACCTACAAGCGCCCATCCACCGCCCCTTCAGCCCACCTCAAGTTCAAAAAGCTTTCAAAAAGGATCCGACCACATGTCGATGTGCAGGGATGACTCCATGTGTCAGTACGGCACGAACGTATCTCCCCCACCGCAGCCCAACAAACAAGAACACGGCCGAAGCCGTCCAAGAGCTCTCAAGGTATACCGGTACACCAAGGTTAACAAAACCACTCACCAAAAACACAGTAGTCGACCTCGAGCCGTGCCCATCGTCCTGCAGAAAGAACCTCAAATTTCTCGATATCTGATTCCGACGTGTCAAATCGCTGACAGGAACTGCTGCGTGGAACTTCCAGAGTGGGTTGCCGGCGGCTCAGACAAGCCGCAGCTTCTTAGCCGATCGTGAGCTGACTTTCGGCGCCGGATGAGAGGTGAAGTTCACTGCAATTCAATAAGATAAGAGGAATGCGAGGCCCGCTGAAAAACAACAATCCTTGCTGTACCTGTGGGGGGGGGCGGAAATCTGGCACAGGCCGATGGCTGTGTTTTCTGAGGATTCAAGCCTGCCTGGGCATGACGCGGTTCATCTTCTTTGACAATGCCATTAACGTCACGGAGGACCGACGATCTGTTCTGACCCTTCAGCAGCTGAAGCCCACAGAGGCACACCGGTGGCAGGAGCTTTTAGTCGAGCAGCCTTTCATCTGGGTGTTCCTTTTCCTCTATATTGCCATCTCAGCGTATGTCATTCTCAACTTAGCCAGCGGCTCAGATGGTCAACTTGCTCACGTGGTGCTCAGGGGCAAGTGTTGGTTCATCGTCAGTCGTTGGGAGTAGGTCCCCAGTCGGTCCGGTTCATTCGCAGGTTACGGCTGTGATCTGCGAGAAAGCTCAGTCCATGACGCAGGCCCAGCCCGAGCGGAAGGGTGAGATGCCTAGGGCGTAGTGCTGGGAAGGAGAATGCAGCGGAGATGGCTAAAGAGCTACGAGCAGAAGAGAAGAGGACTTTGAAGGCTCGGACCACACAGCTGCCGATTGAGATCCATGGCAGTTCTGGCTTGAGGATCTCAAGAATCTTTTCCTGAGACTTGATGCCGACGGCAGCGGACAGGCATTCTTGCAACACCGTGGATCAGTCGTTTGAGATTAAATGTTGTGCACCGGGTGTCAGGTCACCATGGAGGAGTTTGATGCAGCCTTTACAGTCCCGGAATGTAGGCGAGATGGATGCCAGATTGCTGCGCAGGTTGTCTGCCATACTGCTGTGCATTGCTGTGCTTTGTTGTGCACATACGTTCGATCTTTGTGATGGGCACAGGGACAAGTTCCTTTTGCTGGGCTTCGATGAGGACGAGGCCAAGAGACTCTTCAAGGCGCATTCTGCCTTCCGGTTGACTGATTCTGTTTCCAACGGTGCTCTTGCTTCCTCCAGTAAGACGACGAGCAGGTGCTCGACGCAGATGGCGAAGGGGAGCTCAGTGTATCTGAATTCACCAGAGGCCGGAGATTTGAACACTTTTTGCAAGTTGTTTTCCGAGCATGTCCGAATCTACCTTTTATCCTCCAGCTGGGGCGGAAGATATTTTGGCCAGATATGGCAGAGGTGAAGGGCGAGGCTAGCTCCGGCAGCCTCTCTCCCTGACTCCATGACTTGTGAGACAGGCGACATCCAGAGGAATGCTGATTGCGAAGAAGAAGGCGCCGGATGCTCCATAGACAGCGTGGACAGGTGCGACATGGTGCGACAGTTTTTGGCAGACATCAGGCCGAAAAGCTGGAGAAGCTGTTGCTCAAAGCGCTTCCACCGGACACCACCGCCGGAGGCCGCTGGACACCACGGAAAGAGTGGAAGCAACAGCTCTGTTCCTGGGAAGGCGAGGGCGACCGGCTTGCGCTGGAGGCCAAACGATTAGTGCTGCGCGGCACCAGTTGCGGTGCCTTTGCCGCGAAAGGAGGCCGAGCCAGAGAGATTCGGTGATCTGCTTGAAACTCAAATGCTGGCAGCTTAGTGTGCCGAATTAAGTTTGAACTACAAGCTTGGAAGGGGGCCGAAGATGTAGGCTAGCCTCGGCAATCGGATGTGGATCGGAAGGTTCCAGAGGTAGCAAGTTTGAGCTGGAAAAGGGCGGAGAGCAACTGCATGCGGAGGCAGAGTAGCACAGTAGCAAGTTCTCTGGCGACGATGAGCCGAAAAGCTGTAGGTCGTGTGGCTCCACACAATCTGAGGCGAGGCCTTGAGGAGGCAGCAAGACTTCGCAGGGTTCTCAGCACGGGTTGGGATCGATTTACACGTGTCCCACACAGGAGCGTTGTGGCTCTTGATCCATCACATTGGAGTCGCTTCTGCCAGGAGAAAAGTCTTATTGCCTGAGCCGCTGGAGGTCTGGACGACATACAGAAGCAGTGCTGGGTGGCAAAGTCTGCAGCGAAGAATTTGGAGGCATCCGCTGCATCGCTGTGCGTCACCATGACAGTTGGGACTTGACGAATCGACAGCCTTTGACGAATCTCAGGATCTGCTGAACAAGATCCGAAAGAAGCAGGCTTCCCAGCAGCGAAGCCCGAGGTACCTCGGGTCCGCGCCGGCTCTGAGGGTCTCAACACAATGCTCACAAAGGTCGGGCTTGGACCCTCCGTCTCCAAACTTCGACTTCGAGGTGCACTGAGGGGCTGTCAGGAACCCCGGCCAAGTTGTAAATGTCAGCGGCTGAATGGCGGCTAAACCATGTAGGGTGAAGGGATCCCACAGAAGTCAGTAGCAGTCCAGGCTGCGCAGGTTCTGAGGGAGGTCCTGTGCATTTGGTGCGGAAGACGGCCGCGACTACCGCAGCTGTAACAACAAGGCTTTGCCTTCTGAATCTTCGCTCCCCACCCGAAGTGCAGGATGTCTCTCAGGCAGAGATGTGTTAATGTTAACGCACCCCGCAACACGCAAGGGCAAAAGCTCATGCGCTTGCGCACTTTAAATGGGCCTGCCGAAGCTGTAAGCCCAAAACAGCGGAGTCGGCAGAGTGCTGGTCACTGTTCGCTGGCTTACTGTGCAACATTGCCTTTTGCATCGTGCCATCATCTGGAAGCATCCATACGTTTTGTAGACGGCAGCATATTTGCATGATGCGGAGGAGCAAATTTATAGTCACATTACAGTCTCTTGCAGGAGCGATGTCGCATGCGCCTTCGTATTAAGTAGTTCGCAAAAGCAGATATTTCGTCGGAGATGGCGTGGGTTAGCATGTCTCCGTGTAGGCCAGCACTCTCTGGGCCGAGCGTCTTGTCTACAGCTCCACAGTGGGGCAAGATTCGGATCAAGCCTGCGTGCGGAGTGTATTGCGTGGTGGGCACAGTGGGCACTCTGCGCTTGGCCAGCCTTGCTTGCCAGAGGGCTACAAGAGACAGACCTGGGAGAAATTGGAGCAAGCGAGGCTGCATTCAGATCAATGCTCGGAGCGAAGGCCACGATGAACAGCAAAGAGCCCCCGAAGTAATGTTGGTAACGGGCCAAGACCATTGTCCGTGGGGAGAGGCAGGCACTGAGATGATGTCCCAGGGATTGGGCTTCCAGACGCCTGCCACATGGAGAGAGGCCGCCCAGCATTTGTGCAAGAAGCTGCAGCAGGCCGTTCCAGGACTCGGCGTCCATGTCGTCGATGTTGCCGAGGCAGCGGATCAAGCACCGCAGGCGACGCTGTGCGCCTGCGTCAACGTGCCCAGGACGTCTCGAAAATCCGACACAGCACGAAGGTGTAGAAGCAAGCATTCATACACAGTTGCAAGCACTACGTGCTGCTCGCCTCGCCCGACTGCAGCAGCCTGTGGGCTTGTGGTCGACCCGAGAAGCGATTCAAGGAGGCGAGGCACCCTGCCGCCGGTGCCTGACTGCAGTGTGCGTTCCACAGGGGCAGGCGTTTTTCTGCAGAGCCCTCGGATGCAGCAGATGCTTCCGAAAGTCTCTGTTGACATAAAGTCTCGGCTCGGATGACATCCTTAGTTTGTGAGATGAACTGTGGGGCAACATGGGATCCTCTAGGAGCTCTGGCGCACCTGGAGGTCTGCAGTGTGCGCTGGGATGTGCTCCACACTGAAGATGGTGGTTCCACGACTGGGTGTCTACGAGTCTTTCGTCGTTTCTGTCGAGTGTGGCGGGAAGGGGCGGGCTCCACCTCTGAAACCTCTGAAAGCCTGCCGCTTTGGCTCGTGGCCAAGGCGTAGCATTAAGGCTAGGAGGTTTAAACATCTTCTGCAGGAAGATCTGCGATCGCCTTGCGGAGTCTTGCCGAAATCTTCTGATTCTGTCACCGTCCGATGGCGACAGCTCGGCAGCACGTCTAGTTTCGCGGCAACAGACGCGGCGCAGCGAAGCCGAAGTGCTACAGCAGTGTGAAGAACTTTGGTCAAGGCAAACATCTGAGGCACTGTGTTGGAAATTTTCAGGATCTTGCAGTAGCGTTGTGTTGAAGATTGCGACCTGAGGACTGCCTTTATGCTCTACTCTTTGCAGTGCATTTCGCACTGATGCCCGTGGAGTTTGTGGCACAGGAGCCCCAAATCGACACGGTGGAAAAGGTCTTCACACTTTGCACAAAGTGCCTCTCCGAAGCCGTCGCGGCTGGCTTGGATTCCGAAGCTCGGGCTTGCCTGGCTTGCCAGGCGGGTGAGTGAAAACTGTTATCGTTAGGGTTGTTTAGGCCGTAGAATTCAACTTGTATGGGCGTGGATTGGACTAGTTTACAGGGATTTTGGAATGTAAGGTGTGGGAATTGCATGAGCCAGGCTAGGGTTTAACGACGCGGACATGTCTGCTGTGTGCGGCGGTTTCCTGTCAATCTTAAGATTCCAAATCAGAACGGCTGCGACGTCCGCGACCAGACCCAGATGTATCGGTGCACGGTAAGCCACGAGTCTGAGTCTCTGGCCAGTCTAGTTCGTTGCTTCGAACGTCGCAGCATCTTCGACTGCGACGCCCGAATTCCCGACCTGCAGTTTGATCCCTTAACTGAGTTCCGAGGGAATCAGCTGAGTCTCGAAGCGGCATGGAAGATCATGGAGGGTCACTGGTCTTTGGACCCGTCAAGTTGTTCATGGAGGCCAGTTCTGGGTCAGAACCCAGCTTATGACTACTTTCCCTGCCAGTTTAATAGCTGGTACAGAGATCCGCGTGGGAGTCGAGGCTGGTACGATCCTGTTTTCAAAGTGGTTACACTGGATGGGCGCGAAGTCTGGCGCAAGCGCCACTACCGTGTCCTTCCAGGAGACGTGCCGGGTAGTTTTCGTCTGAGCACCGAAGACAATGGAATCTCCTTGCGAGAGTATTGGCGAATCGTGGATGCAGACGATGATCTAGCTTGGGCTGTCTTGCACTATGCTGGTGCCGCGCCGCGTGTTGGCCAAAGCTATACGGGCTCGTTGTTGGTTTCGAGAGACGGCTGTCTGCCAGATGCAACTCCCTCACAGCGCATCGCCGCTGCCTTCCAAAAAGCTGGTGTTGCAAAATTCGAGCTTTATGCGATACACCAGGGAGAGGCGTGCCTCGCAGGCGGAGACTGCGGGAAGCCACCACTGACCGAGTTCCGTGGTCTGCGCAGGTACACGTAGCCCAAAGCAGGCTACAAACGTCTAGCTGTTTGTGGAGCACGTTTGCAAGGGAGTGATTGGGCAGTGGGCCCACGCAGGTATGCACTGTCTTGACATTTTTCGTCTTCGAGCTCAGAGCATGCGTGCGATAGAGCACCGCTATGGCCTTTTGCAGCAGAATCCATCTTACCAAAACATTTCCCGTAGCAGACATAGCACACTAGCAGTGGAAGATCAGAGTGTGCTGTATGTACAAACAGAAGAAGGCTCAAATCGATATACAGGACAAGAAGGCCTGCGTCGTTGTAAAATAAATCCAAGCTGCCATGGAGAGCTGGTTGAAGCCGGCCCTAGACGAGCTGACCCAACAACATCTGCATTCATTGAAGGGGATGGAAGCATTGAAAGCGGAGCACAGGCAGTGGCTGCTTGGTTGATTGTTGAGTAAGTTACCAGAAGCATTAGAAGCATATGGTGAGATTTGAGGGATCTTAAACGATTAACATTCAGTGTCTCGAAATCAAGCTGTCGTTGCGGGCATGACATGCCCGCAACGATTGGCCCGCGATAACGTGAAATACCAAAAACGATAACCTATGTTGCTAAGCCTCAAAAGTAGTCTTCAGTATTGCCACGCGCTCATGTGCAACTGTGGAGGTGTACAAGATATTCTGTCTGATTTGTCATCCACCTGTGATGTGATTTCTGAGTAAGATTAAGGCGTGAGTACTGAAGTTCAGCATTCAGCCCTGGGTGGGATCAAGATTAAAGATGCCAGGACAAACTTTTCCCTGGCAAACTGAATCTTAAATCCTGGATCAGATTTGCAGATGTGATTGAATATATATATATATATCTGTGTGTGTGTGTGCGTATGTATATGTGTACATGTATACACATGCATACATACATTGGAAGTTCTTTAAACATTTTTTAGATACTTTGTATATATGTTTTTGATACATGTGTGCGTGTGTGTGTGTGTGAAACCGTGCTTCTAAGGGTCACAGAATTAACGAATGCAGGGGGCCATCCCTCTTGTCATTGGTGGATGACCAACGAAGAGGCCAATGACAAAAGCTGAAAACGTGCCCACACTAAGGTTCGAAAAATCAGTTTGCAGAGCAATTGAAGATACTGCAGAGTTTCGACGGGATGCAAGGAAAAACAGATGAAAGTAGCTTGCTAACCCTGGTATGACTTCGGTCATATTGAGGGTCATTCCAAATCTCTGTGTGTGTGTGTGAGGGGGGGGTGGCCACCTAAAACCAGGCCTATTTGCCAGCTGAAACTACGTATTCTATAATTGTAGAGGTAAAGGGAAAGATACATAGCCCCCCGCAAGGCTGTTCTCACATTTACTGAACATGGTCCACTGCAGTGCATGGCTTGAGACAGACATGAATCGACATGTAAATCATGCGAGCTGGGCACACCAATCATCTCATGAAGATGCAGTCGAAAGAGGAATTGATCAAGCATAAAATTGCCGGTCCACAAAGATTGCTTTATGACGACGTCATGAAAAGACGAGTAGTGGCATTGGAGAGCGGTTGTACAATTAAAGCATATCAACACTCCCGCGAAAACGACTACGGAGCCTACGGTCGCATTAGAGGAGAGAGCAACAGCTTCGAGCCGTGGGAGGCGGTTGCCGTCGAGTTCAGGGCTGGAACGGAAGGAGGATTGGCCGGCGACTACTGGCCCCTGTGTCTGCAGCTCTGTTTGAGGACAGCTATGGACCCTTCGAGTGGACGAAGTGTGAATGTGCTTTTAAGCATGACCCCCAGCATCCTGACTATCCCCTGACCTTTTCAAAAGATGGAAGAGAGCATACGCTCAAGAGAAAAGGGTGGATCTCCCCCAACCTTCAAACAAAGAAGTCTGGTCCTCCCTCCAGCCTTTAAAAAAAGTAGGTCCTCTGCCTCATGCTTTAAGACGAGAAGAGATGTCCCTCCAGCTTACTTTTGGCAAGAGGAGAAAGCTCCTGTCTACAAAAACTCCTCGGCCTCTTGGTAAGTCTCCATCTCCCTTGAAGAGAATTGAAGGGAGCTCGCTCCGAGTAAGGGAAGACAAGGCTCCTCCAATCTCAAAAAGACGAGCCAGAGAGAACTCTGACCTCGTCATCGGCAAGAAATGAGCTCCTATGCCCTACAGGTAGGGGAAGAGATCGCCTGGCAGGTCCTTTACGGCAGCATCTCAAAGAAGCACAGAGCCCCGTCCAACTTCACGAGAAAGAAGAGAGCTCCGTCTGCGTTTTCGTCGACAAGAAGAAAACGAAGAGTTCTTCATCGTCCCCTCTTCATATTCGAAAGATAGAAGAGAGATAGCTCTCAAGAAGTGAGGACAGAGCTCATAACCTTCCAAAAAAAATCTGGTCCTCTCCTCAGCCTTCAACAAGAAATGAGCAGCGCCTCTACTTGTTCTTTGAAACAATAAAAGAGCCTCCTTCAAGTTAGTCTTGGTTTTTCCTAGAGACTTCTTTTACCTCTTGGTAGGTCTTACTCCTTTTGTCTCTAGGTAAAAGGACGAGATCCTGACTAACTCGCTTGCCTTTTCAAGATGGAGGAAAGCATACGCTCAAGAAGCAAAAGTGGATGCCCCCCAACCCTCAAATAAAGAAATCTGGTCCACCATGCAGCCTTCAAAAAGAAGCGGTAACTCATGCTCCAAAACGAGAAGAGGGTCTACCCAAGTTGTTCGTGGAAAAAGAAGAGAACTCCTTTCTGGAGGTGGCTAGAGACAGCTGGGAAACCTGCCCCAGGAAACCCGGCAGAAGCCGCAAGAAGTGGGCGTTAAGGGGCCCAAGCCTAAGCCGAATCCCGGCCTTAAGGGCCAGCGAAAGCAAAAGCAACTAAAGCTGGAGGCCAAGGTCCTGAGGGAGGGCCTGGCAGCTCTGTGGAGCGATGCCCGCCCTTCTGCGGTGCAGGTTCTGAAGGCTCATGGAATTAAGCCTCCTGCTCATGAGGATTTGGATTTGGAAGACCCTGATAGGGAAGAGAAGGTCACCCTGGATGAGGCAGTCACGGTGTTGTATAAGAGAGCTAACAAGCTCAAAACCTTGGTCAAAAAGAAGACCAAGCTGCAGGAGATGTCGGAGAAGCTGAAGGCGGAATTCGAAAAGTCCCTTGAGGATTTGGCTGCTGTCTCAGCTGGCATTGCGGAGGCCGAACGTGATGTCGCAGCCGGCAGAAAGAAGGTGCACGAGCTCAACACTGATGATGCGCCCCGCATGCTGGAAGTGGTGACTAGCTTCCTTGAGAAGGAGAGTGGGCTGGTTTTGGATGATCAGCAGAAGAGCAAATTACAGCTTGAGGCCCGGGCCTTAGCCAATGGAGAAGAAGACATTCTGCATGACCCCTTCCTGAGGAGATCTTTCATGGACAAGGAGAGCAGACCAGTTGAGCTGGGCTTCTCAACGCTAGGTATGCCGTCCTCTTACTGTGCAAGGAGGAAGAGGAGCCTCCTCTGGGGCCTACTTCCACGCCTCTGGGCACTTGGTGCAAAGCTGGAGTGTTGTTAAGCGGGCTGGCAGAAGCCGTGGCCCGAGGACGCATCACAAGGCGACATCAGGAACGCCCGCAATCCCAGAAGGAAGCCTGTTGGACCAAGTTTTGGTAGCTTTTAGGGAGCAAGTTCCGACGTCCAGAGCTACCCCTTTGCAGCCTGAGACTAGGATTGTCAGGCTATACGATCACTTACCAACGCTCCTCACGGGGCCAAAATTTTTTCAAGCCTCCTGGGAGGAGGAAACGGCATCTGAAGATGAGGCTTGCCAGGCAGCCCAAACCGAAGGGGATCAGGGTAGCTTGGATGGCACCCCACAGGCCGAGCTCCCCGAGCTCCCAAAAAGAAAAGCCCTCTACTTCATCCTCGACAAAAAGAAACTGACAGCTTCCTCCAATCTAATGACACAGAAGAGAGAGCTCCATTTCAAAACAGACAGACAGGCCCCTCCAACTTCACGAGGAGGAAGACTGCTCCGTTTGCCCCTCAGTCGGCAAGAAAAGACCTCCTTTCTCTCGAGGTAACGGAAGAAGATCCTGACTATCCCCTCTACCTCGTGAAAAGATGGAGGAGAGCATGTGCCCCCAACCTTCAAACAAAGACGTCTAGTCCTCCCCTCATCCTTCAACAAGAAAGAGAACTCCTCCACCTCATGCTTTAAAAACAAGATAAGAGCTCCCCCAAGTTATTCGTTGTAAGAGAAGAACGCTTTTCTCTAGAAGAGAGCTCTTTTTTTACCTCTTAGTAAGTCTCCTCTACGTCTTCAGATAACTAACAAGAAAAGACAGAGACCCCAAGCCTTCAAAAACAACGTATGAGTTCTC